ATTTGGCGGAACGCCTCCTCCCACCAAGGTCTACCCGGATCACCCGCGCGAGTCAGGAGGTGAGGCTGAGGAGCCTGACGCCGAGAGAGGCCCAGAAGGAGAAGACACGAAACCGGGCCTTCTCGGTGGTGGCTCCTCGCCTCTGGAACAATCTCCCTCTGGCGATTTGCGCGGCCCCCACGCTGGGCATCTTTAAAACCCAATTAAAAACATGGCTGTTTATTCAGGCCTTCCCTCCAGTCAACTCTTGATTTTTTCTTACTTTTCCTTTTTATTTTTACTGCTGTTCTTGTTTGATTATTATGTATTTGTCTATGTTTTATTATTTGATTTTATATTTGGAAGCCGCCTAGAGTGGTCCGGTGCGCCAGATAGGCGGGGTATAAATTAAATAAATAAATAAATAAATTTTTAAACTGCTCCCTTATTACACAAGTTTTTTTTTAAATTAAATGGTGTCTGTAATTTTCTATGCTTTTAATAATTTGCTTAATTGTGTTTCCTTATAGCTTGCCTTGCAGAAGAGTAGTAGATAAAGCGCGGTCCTTTTAAAGGAGAAAAGCAGGGTTTAAATAAATAAGTCAGGCAGATACTACACAGAACAATTGCTGCAGCATGGCTGGGGGACTTTTGGCTCTCCAGATAGCTCAAACCAGAGACAGGGAAAAGTTATTCCGAGAGCTTAAGTCCAAAAAAAGCAATTTTTCTCATCTCCAGGTTTGGCCTCCAACTCGCGGCGACGGCGCCCTCCATGGCTAATGGTCGAGGATGATACAAATGTCAGCAGTACACTCATCGGAGCCCTGCTTATTATTACATAACCTTGTTCTACCTCCATCCCGCTCTTTATCCGTTCTAGTACAGCTGGCAAGAATGAAAAACCAATCCTGTGCACGTTTTCTCTCAAACAATAATCAGTGTAACTGACAACCGACAACGTTCCCCAGTCAATTCAAAATCAGTTGCTTCCAGGAAAACAGCTGCATTTTCCACTGGAAAATAACTGACAACCGACAACAACGTTCCCCAGTCAATTCAAAATCAGTTGCTTCCAGGAAAACAGCTGCATTTTCCACTGGAAAATAAGCCGCACTTCATCACAGCAGAGCCTTTCTGTCACGATATCACCACAAGACCTTGGTAAGCGGCCTCTGCCTCCGGAAAGCCTCCATCTCCCGCGGCTTCCCGACACGGCGCCTCCGGGCTTCACCCACACCCCCCTCAGCCACAACTTACCCGGAATCTCGCTTAGAGGCGCCAATCCTGCGGCCTCAGGCGGGCGGCCTCAAAAGACACCTCCACGCATGTGCTGCGCAACCTCATCACTACGCGCTACAGTCCCCGGCTTCGACTATAGAGCCATGACTTCCGTTCGGCTGGTCAAAGAGGGGAAAGGGGCGGGGCGTCGCCATGGCGGCCAAGGGCCGAGCCGGCCAGCCGGCGGCGGCGCCGACCGGAGCCGAGATGGGTTGCTGAGGCGAGAGAATGATCTCGCGATATACGCGGAAGCCGGTGCCCCCCGACGCCCTGGGGATGTGAGTGGCCTCCCCGCTGAGGGAGCGGCAGAAAGGCGCGGGCCCCCTGTCTCCGCTTCCGCCCTCACTGACCTGCGCCTCCCCCGAGCCCCTTCCTGCGGCCTTTCCCAACGCCCGAGTAGGGCGCTTTACCCGTCCTCTCCCAGAACGTGAGGAAAGTGGCTGCTTTGGACTACAGCTCCCAGAATCCCCAGCCCACGCTGGCTAGTGGAAGCTGGGAGTTGTGATACCCCCACGAAGAGATTCTCCCCAACCCCGCGCCCTCCGGCTCTGGCGGCGAAGGAGCCTCGTCTCTTTGGGCGGCTCTCGCTCGGTTCTTCCCCACCTACCGGCTCCTTCCCGTCTTCTAGGCGCTCAGGAGAGCGTCGTCGTCGTCGTCCCCGTCCCTGGTTCCCCCCCCCTTCAGAAAACCCTCCCTCTGCCGGCCGAAGGCGTCGCTTCCTCCGGCAGCCTCGGTGAGGCGGCGGGCGCAAAGGCAGCGAGGCGGCTGGGGAAGCCTCCAAGCCAGGGCCCGCCTCCGTGAGAGGCGCAAGTGGAGCTGGCAAGGGAGGCCGCTCACCCTGCGTCGGGACTGCGGAGGAGAGGAAGGTTCGCCTTCCCTTTGGGATACCCCCGCCGTCCTCAGGGAGACGAGTCTGGCTGGGTTGCGGACGAGCCGTCCTCCTGGCTGGCCTCTGGGTCTGGAGGGTGGGAAAGACGTTCGGCCAGCTGGCCCCAACCGGCGATGCAGGCCTGGTTCAGGCGGAGGAAAGCTGTCACCACCCGACGGGCAGCACAGTCCCGGAATAAAAGCTTGTCTCGCTGCTGCTTCCAGACAGGCTTATGCAAAAGCCTGTTATTCTGAGATACCCATCCATATTTTTTTTGTTGGCCGTCCACGTTCAGAGGAAGAAAAGGTTTGGGATGGGAAAAAAATAGCAATTCAGCTGCTAAGGCCGTGGTCTGGTGCAGAGTTTGATACACCGAATTCTAGATTGTCAGGCCAAATTTTTTTAAAAAAATGAAAAAATAAAGAAGACAAAAACGTTGTGGAACCTTAAAGACTAACTGCTATATTTTAATGCGAGTAGTGTATTCATGGATAAGTCTCTCGTGTCTGAAGATGTGGAATTGTCCATGAAAGCTCACATTAAAATACTGTATAGCGGTTCTTCATTAAGATGTCACAACCTTTTAAATCTGCTTTATATTTTTTCATTTTTTGTTTTGTTGTTCCCTGACATTCTAGCACAGACTAACATGGCTACTTCTTCTAAAACTCATTCTAGATGTTTAGACTTCATCTTGCACAAATCAGCTGAATATCAGGCCTTTGTCACATAAATGATAAATCAGTGTGATGGAGCATCAGACCAGGACTTATAGATTCCTGGCTTCATCCATGGAAACTCAGTAGCGGGTGGCAACCGTTTCTTCAACATCTCACATATCTGAAAAACTTTATTAGGGTTGCCACCAATCAGAAGTGAATTGACAGCATATAATGACAAATACACCATAGGAGAGGCGATAATGTGCTTGTAGCAAAGTAATAGTCCAAGAAAACTAGCCAGAAATGTTGTATAGAAATTGACAAGAATTCTATAAATGCCTTTGGAGAAGAACTGTGATGTCACTCTGACTAAAAGGATGGGATTTCAATCTTAAGAAGCAAAGGTCACTTGACAGGCCAAAGGTTTGCCCACATTTTGGCCAGTTAATTAAATGCTGAGAGCCTGTGTGGTGTAGTGGATGTGTTGAACTAGAACTCAGGAGACTTTGTTTAAATCCCTGTTCAGCCATGGAAACTTGGGGGGTGGGTGTGCTAACACTGATGAGTTCAAAAGACTAAACATCAGTTTAGGTCACTGTTCCAAATGTGCCGTGCATTTTACCATGCCACTTTTTGGCATGGATCTCTACATATAGGAACTGAGGGGTGACCTAGATTTGTAAGTCCCTGGTTAATGATCTTTGCAGAAGCAAGTAGAACTAGCAAATCATCTATGTTTTTATGGAGACAGTTTCTCTTTGTCTATCCCATAGTTTTAAAAAAGCCTCTCTAGTATATGGTTGTAGATGACCTGAGGTCTGTGGTTTGATCGTTGATTATTAATAAATCTTCATTTCTTCTGGTCTAAGTCTAGATTTATTGAAAACTCACATTTTTGTTAATGACTATGGCCTAAGTCCAGCATTCCACTGGCCCAACATTAGGATAATTCTCTCCATCTCCTTTCTTCTTGTAGTCCTTTGTTTCACCTGAAAACCAACTCTAAAGGAATTTTCCAGCCCTCTAGAGCAGGGGTTCCCAACTCCCGGTCTGCAGCCCAGTACAGGTTCAGATCTCAAGACAAATCTGCCCCCCTGCACACACTCCCCAATGTATGCCCACCTGCATACACAGCCCTCCCACTGGCATGCACAGGTGCCCCGCCTACCTGTGCATGCGCATGAGCACGCCCCATCCACCCCTGAGCGTCATGCATGCATGCGAATGCACCCTGCCCCACTGCGAGCACACCTCGCCCATCTGCGCATGTGCGACTGCACCCCGCCCACCCACAAGCGCAAGGGGGTGCCCCCACACACATTGACCCGCCCCCTCAACTGGTCTGTGATCTGGAAAAGGTTGGGGATCACTGCTCTAGAACCAGTTTTGGTGATGCACAATAGACTGCAGTGGGAGGGAGCATTGCCCTTTCCTGATTCCCCTGGATTCTGCTGTACCTCCAATAGAAGTAGACTATTTAATCCTGCTCAGTGTAGATACTTCAATAATTTTAATATTGATTGCTTTTTGACAAAAGACATGAAATAATCTTGGGTGTGTGTACCACGCCGTCGTGTCGGAACCAATTTATAGCGAACTTCATAGGGCTTTCAAGGTAAGTGAGATATTTAAGGAGTGGTTTACCATTTCCAAATGCTCACTGAATTTCCATAGCTAAGTGGGGATTTGGACCCTGTTCTCCAGAGTCCTGGTCCATCACTTTATCCACTACACCACACTGGGGATCCAGATAATCTTTAGCAACTGGAATTTGTTTCCACCAGTCAGATCATCATTTATTTTTTTCAGACGAGGACTGAAAAATACCTTAGAACATCATCCCCTGCCAGACTCACTGGATGAAAGTTACCCATCTACTGAAAGCCAGGAAGATATTTCAAGGTATTAGGCTAGTATAATTATGTCTAACGTTTGTCAAAACAGGATAAATTGAAAATACATTTGTTATGCAATTTTTTTGTCCTGTTACTCTGGTTATGCTATTTCTGCCTTATTGAACTCTAAACAAACGTTGTTTGTGTGTTCATTTATTGTGGCCAAATATTGTTTATTCCATGAAACCACTAATAACTTTGTCGAAGCTAACAGTCCGATTTACATTATCTTGGCATCAGACAGTAAAGGCTAGAGATAAGCTTTCTTATTTTCCAATGGCTAAAATCAGGTTCCATGAGCTGTGCTGTATCAAGCTGATGGTATCATCAGCTATGGCAATATTTTGGAAATAAAAACATTCTGATTTCTTCTAAAAATCTCCTGCGGAATCCCTTCAGTTTGTGGGAAAGCTGCTGGAGGTTGAGAAAAGGATGGAGTCTTTAATTTGTGAAAATCACCACCCCTGGGATGACTTTACCAATGGCAATAACTTTCAAAAATCAAAAGCTCTTCCCCCATCCTATAGATCCTGATGGCTTTCTCATTATGAAAGGGATTTCACAGTAACCTCAGGACTTGTGGTGGGAATCAGAAATGGTTTATTTCTGGAAAATCATTGTGGTTGATGATGTCACAGGCTTTATGTGGTATAGCTGCACAAACAGGATTTCCACCTTTATTTAAGAACAGATATACTTACAAACTTAGGAAGGGGCACCTGATTCCTTCCAAATTCCCTTTTTATTATATAATTAATTTATCAGGCTGCTTTAAGGCCTTTAGGATAAAATGAAAACTACATCTTCTTAAATGATGTTCACATGATTTTATTTTCACCTAACAATACGTACTGTAACGATTGCTGTAAACTTAGTAACATTTGCAGAAGTTATACATTTCCTGCATTTAACATTACCTTAAGATAAAGATTTACTTTATTGGAAATATAGCTTGTCTCAGTGGAAACTAAAATGTTCTAGATATACCAGCTCTGTGTTTCAAGAAGTTTATCACATCAATGTATACATGACTTGATCTTAACATCCCTTTTTCCCGTCTTCTCAAAACTGTATTTCAGTGAGTCGGAAAGTACAAAAGATGCAAACTACCAGTCTGTCACTTCAGTGGATGATGGCAATTCATGGTCAGCAAGTCAGAGCTTCACAGGCACCTCCACAGAAGACAGCTCAGTCTTTTCTTGGGGCTATGATGTGAGCAGATTATAGTCTTTGATTTTAAAACAGAAAAAACCACCCTACCTTTGAAAAGGATATATTTTGATTCTTACTGTTCAGATAATTTCCCACATTGATCCTGACAAACTCAGAAGTATATGGATCTGTATGCAGGGCTATACAAGGCTTGATATATTTCAGTTACTTAAAATATGTGTGTGTGCAAGGTTTAAAATAATCCCTTTTGAATCCCAAGGTTTAAAATTGTTCATCTAATTTATCTTCAGAAACCATTGTTTCTTTTTTGGATAAGTTAAACACTATGAACTGCATTGTTTGGCACTGACTTGGCAGTGAGTCCCATACTGAACATCAGTGATAGATCTAGCTTTAGTCATGGGTAGCTTGGTTTCATACGTTTCAACTGCTTTGGACTACTTGCATTCAGATACAGTGGTGCCTCACTTAACGGGCGCCCCATTTAACGATGAAATCACATACCGACGAACTTTTTGCGATAATTTTTGCGATCGCATTGCGATGTTTTAAATGGGGAAAAATTGCTTTGCGATGAGAGGTACCCTGTTTCGCTTACCGATTATCGCAAAGTGATTATTTTCCCCCAGCTGATCGGCGGTTCCAAAATGGCCACCGGGTTAAGAAAATGGCCACCCGCTGTGTTTAGGGACGGATTCCTCGCTTACCGGGCAGCGAAAATGGCCGCCGTATGGAGGATCTTAGCTTAAAGGTCAGTTTTAAGGCCATAGGAACGCATTGAAGGGGTTTCAATGCATTCCTATGGGCTTTTTAAAATCGTATAGCGACGAAATTGCTTTGCAGCGATTTTTGCTGCACCGATTAACGTCACTATGCGAGGCACCACTGTATTTGGAACGTAATTCTAAGAACTTTGTATGATTGCAAAATCAATTATAGCTTTAGTTCAGTGTATGGTTAGATATAATTAAATCTTATGGACATAGTGCCTAGATTACATCTGAGGCCTTGCAGTTTATCACTTTCTGATTATTCCTTACTACTCTTTGTGTTGAATCTCCTATTTGTTTTCTGTTGTATCATTAATTAAAATATTCCTAAATGTCTGAAAATAACACTTTTAAAAAAACTGTATGGATCATAATTAGCTTAGGTGTCTATGAGAGTATTGTATCACAGTTTAAATTAACTGGGAAAGAATGAATTTGATAGGCAAAGCAGGTTGCCCTTTGGGTTTTTGTTGTTGATGTTGTTGTTTTTAAACAAACAGATTTGTGTGTTTCTTTGAAAACAAAGCTTTTAACATCAGGATGTTATCATTTCCTTAAGATTCTAGATCTGGGTCCTATCCTGAAAGAAATGACATTGAGCAACCCCACTGAGTTCAATGTGAATGCCACAAATGGTGTATTTACAGTGTCTAGTATTTCTGAATGCTTGTACAGGTTGGTGCTACAAAAAGCAAGAGATGAGAAAAGAAACAGAAGTACAAAAACCAGCCAGATAATGTGGCTATAAAGGCTGCATTTTAGATTTAATGCAAGGATAGAGACTGCAGATTAAATAGATAGTGATTAGGAGGTTGGTAACTTGTATTTCCTATTTTGCATCACACAATTTTCTTGGGAGGTGCAAAACCAAACTAAGGAGAAATGTGATAAAGAGTATCACATTTTGTCACATTTTATTAACAAAGGCAGATATTAACTTTAGGTGGCAATTAATTTTCTCCATTTTTCTTTTCTGGTACTTTGATTTAAAAGTTCTAGGGAATATGAAAACCTGCACATACAGTTCAACTACTGCTTGATATTGACAAGAATCCTATTCATGTTTGTGTCATTTGTAGTGGCTAATAGCAGCTAATTGATCAGGTGCCAGGAAGTATATCTGTAATGTGCCTGATCACATCCCCTGTTCTGCAACCTAGATGCACTGTGCCACCCCGACTGCTGGAAGTTTACATGAACCTTACATGAATCCTAGTAGGATTCTGGCTATTCCATAACAATGGACTTGGGATTGTTTCCCCCCTGATGGATGGTTTTTCTTTCTTTGTTTAAAGTGTGTATCATGCCCCTTACCATCTTCCAATCAAGAACCACATATCAAATTGTATGAAAAATTTTGCTTTCACCTGTTTCATTTATTCTTTACAAGTTGTGTCAGTAACAAAATATTGCAGGGTGGGGTGTTCCTCACCTATCAGCCAGCCATCAGGATATTCCATTCTATTTACCTGCCTGCTCCCAGTTTTCTGTTTTTAAAAAATCTCCCATTCTATATTGTGTAGCCACTGGGCATGATCAGTCCTAATAGGGATCTTTGGTGAATTTTCCTCATGTAGAGTACTGTATCCAGTTCTGGACACTGTATTTGAAGAAGGATGCCAGCAAACTGAAACAAATCCAGAGAAAGGCAACAAGGAGGACTAGGGATCTGAAAACCAGGCCCTATGAGGAAGCAGTGAAAGAACTGGGCGTATTTAGCCTTGATAAAAGAAGATTGAGGGGAAATATGATAGCACTTTTCAAATACTTGAAAGGCTGTCATATAGAGGAGGGACAGGATTTGTTCTCAGTTGACCAGGTTTTCTGCAAAAATGGGTTCAGCTCTTTAAATATGCTAGGGTGCAAGCTTTTATATATAAAAAGAAAGATTTCTGAATTTCTGAATTTCTGCTAAAATGTAATTCAAAATAACTGGTTGAAAAGCTAATCTTTCCCCACCCTTTATTGTTTTCTTTTTTTCTAGGAATTTGATAAAGCTGCTACCCGACAGGTTCAGCAGATATTCAGACACATTGATGAGCTTCTGTATGAGCAAAAAACAAGTGTGTTTGTTGAAGGCCTAGAGGAAGAGTGCCAAGAATGGATGTCAAGCTTCCCCCATCTCAGGTATATTAATTATGTATCAGTGCTTGGGATTTCACAGTACTGAATAGCAGTTAATTTATTGTAGCACCAGGATTATGGTTCTATGCTGCTTTACAAGTGTTTAATGTTAATTAATGTTAGGATTTATTATAAAACCATTTATTTCATTTCTTATTTCTGGGTGAATCATTTTATAGGAACACAATGAGTGATTCTAGTACACTTCTCCCTTCAACAATGCTGGGGTTGGTGCGCTGAACCCCCATATAGTTCAAAATCCATGTACAGTGGTGTCTCGCAAGATGATTTTAATTCGTTCCGCGAAAATTGTCATCTTGTGAAAAAATCGTCTGCCGAGGTTCCCTAAGCATCGGTCTCAAAAAAAAAAAAAAAGTATTGCGAAGCATCGGTCTCAAAAAAAGTCTTGCGAAGCACGGTCATAGAAAAAAAAATCTTTTAAGACACCATAGTGATTGCAAAAAACAATCATCTTGCGGGTTTTTCGACCCACAATGCAATTGTCTAGCGAGGCATCACTGTGCTGTATAACTCATGCCACAAAATGTAACTGCTAAGCATAACAGTTGATTCTCTCTCTCTCTCTCTCAGAGAAGGAGAGAGAGAGAGAACAGTTCTCTTTATTGGGGTTAGCTTCCATAACATTGACAGTCCTTACTATAGAGCACAGTGTGTAATGAGCCTTAATGGTCCTTATGACCCCCTGATCTAGAGGCTTAATTAGAGATGTTAGGTTTGTGTTTTCTTTGATACGTTTGGGGTTGAACTCATGCTTCTGGTTCTTTTTGGGCAGAGACACAGTATTTGTTGAATATTTATTTATTGGAATATATATATATTTATTTATTGGGGGGAAATCTTTGTATAACCAAAACCATGCTGTTCAGACCCATGTAATTCAAGGGAGATGCGTCGTTCTGCTTTGCAACTGATTGAGTCAATACTGAAAAGTAGTACAGTACTTTGGAATATGCCAAATATTGGATCAGCACAGTGTTAGAGATCATAATTTTATATTGATGTTTCAATATGCTGCAGGCTAGGATCGGGCATCATTCAGAATGATACAACAATACTGCTCTTCTGTGTATATATATAGTGTCCTCCCTCACACATAAATTATTTATTTGAGTTGCAGCCTCAGTGTAGCTGTTGAATGCATTGCAACATATTTTACAGATTAGGCATACTTCTGATAAGTTTATTTAAGTTTAAATTACATTTTATATAATTTTCTCTTTAATAATAGGATTGTGGGAAAGCAATTAGTGATTCCTACAGATGAAGGCTATGGTTGGTATTCTAGTTCAACCTGCAGCACTTTGGAGTCATCAGATATGAGCCCAATGCAAGAGAAGGATCCTAGTGAGTAAGTAGCAGTAGACTCTGATTCTGCCCAGGTATTGTGACCATCATTGCTTACAGTAATACCTGGTGGAAAAGCATAGATTGAATACCTTTTTAATAGTAAAACTATCACCTATTATTTATTTTTGTTGTGAGTCAAAATTCTTCCTTTGTAACCACAGCATTCATGTATTCTGCCTAGTGTACCAGCTATATTTTTCAAAAGCGGCAATAGCTTTACTGAGTAATAGTTATCGTATATTGTCTACATGCATAGCAAGTATTTGTTATGCATGTGGACAATATTGGCTTGGTTCCAAAGAACCATGAGTGAAAGGAGGCATTAGACTTCTTTTTCTTCGTTTCCGCCTGCCGTATTGTGTTGAAATTGAAAATAATTTTTATAACACATTTGACATTGTATTAGAATAAGGCTTTTCAAAGACTATAATCACTTGGCTAGTTGAAGCTCTTTACATGAGCAACTAAGTGACAACTTCTGTGGCAGTGGTTCTTCCTATGTTTAAGGGTGATCATGTAGGAAGGAAATAATTTGGACGGCTAGGTGAACGTATAAGCTATAGTTTTTCACAGGTAGTATAAACTCTTGCCTCTTCAGAATAGCCATTTTCATTTGAGTCAGCAGAAGCTAATTTGTCCACATATATTTTTTGGAATAATTAAGAAAAAATCTCAAATGTTTTCTTTGTTACTGGTAATGAAATAAGAGAAAAGAAGATTTATTACATCCAGGGTGCTTATGTCATCTGGGTAGATTTATTGACTAAAATAATCTTGCATAGGTATCCAAATGGCATAACTTGACTAAAATTTTCTTGGATAGGCAAATTGTCCCAAGTTGAGACTTCATAGTAGATGTTATCTGTTGCATGCTGAGTCACACAACTTGGTATGCAACAGATCATCTTTACAGTTAATTCCTAGCTTTAGGTAGTTTTCCAAAAGCAAAAGCTACACTTCTGTAACTGGGTAAGAGGATTTGGGCCATTGTAGAAATGAAGTGCATCAGATCAAAAGCATAATATATAAAAACTTTCTTTCAATGGGTTGAGAACTGCTTTCTCATCTATGTTTTCAGTCAAAGCTGAAGAAGAATGAGTGGGTCAGCAGACTATACAGCAATGGCTTCTATCCTTGATATTCTTGGTAGTCTTAGATACTAGTTCCCCAATCCCTAAAATGTACAACAGACTTTCAGCTTTCTTAGCTTAGGCTTCTGGGTGTTACAGTTTAAGAATATTTATAGAACTAAAATTGGTGTACCCAATATTAATGTAATTTAAAAGGGAGCTACAGACTGACTTCTGTTTGGAGGGGGAAAAACTGATTGGTATACACTCTGCAGAGAATGCACCCACAAATGTTTTAATTAATTGTCTTCAATTCTGTTGCTTAGTGTAATACGTTGCACTAGAGTAGGCCAGTTTGAATCAATAGAAGTAATGGAGGAGTTGACTCACCAAATCCCTGTGGATTTAGTGTGCGTAATGTAATTTACTATGCTAAGCAAAATTGGAAGACAGGAAGGCCTGGTGTGCTCTCGTTCATGGGGTCATGAAGAGTCAGACACGACTAAACAACAACATACTAAGCAACAGAATTTCAGTCATTGTTCATAATTTTTTTATACTCACTGTACCTACCTGTTCAAAAGTGCTTCTAGTAAATAAATAACTGCTTACCCTGTAACTATTATTGAAAGTGAACTGCTGATATATATGACTGTAGCTGAAATCCAGTAGTAAGTTACAACTAGAGTAGGCCTATGGAATCAGTGGTTGTTGGTGCACCAAATCCCCACTGATTCAGTGGGCTTACTCTAGTTGTGACTTATTCCTGGATTTCAGTCTATATGTTCATCCTTCTTGACTTTTGTCATTTGAAAATTAAAATATTTTTTCTTCAGGTTTAGTGTTCTAGGCAAAAAAGTTCCCTTCTCTGCTACTCCTGCTCATAAAAATCATGTCCCTGAATTCTGTTTATGGGAGAGTGAAGAAGGAGAAGATTGTGTGATTGTCTGTGAAGGCATCATGGAGGAGTATTTAGCATTTGACTGCAGAGATGTGTAGGTATTGAATATTTGATTAATCTGTCTTGTAGCAACGTACTTAAAGCTGTCTGGTGAAAATTGTGTTATTAAATTTTGTTGCTATTTGTCATTCGCAAAGTTCCAGGAAAACCCAAAAGTGCACTGTAATTCTCTAGCTATTGGAATGCCTAACTAGTGGTTACCAGATAGCATTTGTACCAAATTATGTATTGTTATAACATGTTACTGCTCTGATAGTTGTATTGGCCAGATAAATTTACTTTGTAATGGACCTGTATGATGAAATGTAATGCTGGTCCTAACAAAAGTAGACCCACTTAAGTCATTGGAGCTTAATTTAGTTGTGATTAAGAAGTCCCATTTATTTCGATGGGTCTATTAAAGGTAATGTTAGATTTAGCACATACTCTCTAAATGTGTCCAAAAGGAAATTTCAGAGAAGTGCACTGTAATTCTTTAGCTATTGGAATGCCTAACTAGTGGTTACCAGATAGCATTTGTACCAAATTATGTATTGTTATAACATGTTACTGCTCTGATAGTTGTATTGGCCAGATAAATTTACTTTGTAATGGACCTGTACGATGAAATGTAATGCTGGTCCTAACAAAAGTAGACCCACTTAAGTCATTGGAGCTTAATTTAGTTGTGATTAAGAAGTCCCATTTATTTCGATCGGTCTATTAAAGGGAAGATTAATGTTAGATTTAGCACATTCTAAATGTGTCCAAAAGGAAATTTCAGAGGGCCCATCCAAACCATTAGTTTGTGATTATAGAAAGTTTAAAAAGAGCTGTAACCTTTGCTTCTCTGCTTCAAAGGGAAGAAGAGTTGCATGAATGGAAAATGGGGCTTTCACCTGACAGACGGAAATTAGGTTTCCCACCTATCTCACCATCCTACTGCATGAGGGATACTGTTCTTTCTTATGTGTTTGATGATGTATGGAGTGAAGTCTTGGGCTATATGGAGCAGCTAATCTGTAGACACTGGGAAGGGTCAGTATCAGGTAAGTTTTAGAGATGAAGTGTTATCTGCACAACCAGTATGCTCCAAAAAACTTAGCATTGGTAAGTGACATACTTTTGAAGTACACTCTTTACCTGCATACAGTTTGGGTCAAGTGAATCAGATGGCAACATTAGGTACACTTAAAGTTTTAGAAGTCTTTTTTCATTACTATTTTTTATTGTCTGTGGCAAAACTTTTAGTAGTGGTTTAAAAGATTAAAATAACTTTCTTAGAAGTTTGTTTATAAGAATATCAAGCAAGTAGTACCTCCTGATGTTCTTTATTCTGTCATTGGTAGATGATGAGAAGAATGTTATAACTGTAGAATCAAGCCGGACAGATTCAGGAAGCCCTTTTATGCAATTTGAGCCACTGCCATTGTTGTTGCCTCGAATGCCACAAACCAAGATGCCCTCAATCACTTCAAATGTGGTAGGTGTAAGAAGTAGCATGATTTTTGTTGATCTGAGGTGGCATTCAGGTAAAGAAAGTAGTCATATTTGTTGCTTGAAAATTAGATGTTGTAGTGACTTGACCATAATAGTTCTTGTGAGACTTCTATTTTGTCTTGTGCATATAAAATTTTACTGCTTGGAAAATTCTACCTTTCCTTGTTTTTCAAATAGTTTTTTAAATAGCACATTGAAGAGTTTGAAATTATACAGAGTTGGAGCACTGCTGCTCATTTTCATAGTTAGAGCTACAGAAGACTCTAATTAATAACCACAAGAGATATTGACATTTACTCAGATTTGTGAATAGAAAAATTTTTATGTAATTTAATTTAAAATGTCTTCATTAAGTATCGGTGTTTTTAAATCATGCACTTGTTCCTCCTCTGTGTACTCTCCATGTTACTAAACACTTGACAGTAGTATCAAATGCCCAAGAATCAATCAGTTTTTATCTAAACTCAGTTTTCTTTTCCCTTTTTTTCTTTCCCTTTAACTTTCCTGTATAATGTTCTATCTTCCTCATGTATACCTTATTGTATGTATAGTACTCAAAATGCAGATATGGCCGCAAAACCAAAAAGAAGAGAAAAACACGAGAAGTATGTATGATGGATTGGGTGTAGTGTCTTTCCTGTTGGGATATGCAGTGAGTGATGGGGGCTGAGCTGAGGTACTGGTTTTTGGGCACAGTAGGCAGAAATGTAAGAGAAGGCCACTATCTTCATTCTAAATTCATTCATATGGAAGGAAAAGTAATTACAGTAATTTAAAGATAACTGTTCCCAAAAAAATCAGCTTTAGATTATATTCTCCCCTTTATTCTTTTGAGCATTATTAAATATTTAAATTTTCATCATTTTAATCATGTATTCTTTTAAACATTTAGATTAACTATACATGTCTCGATTATGGTCTAGGATAGCAAGCTTAAACTGAATAAATTTGATAATCAGTCTAAGAAACCTAAGCTAGAGTTGTGCTTACATTAAAAACTCATCCAGTTGTCAAAAGCATATCAGCATGTTAGCACCACCCCCTCAATTGTCAGTTTTGGTGCCCTCTGTATTTGAAGAGTGATGAGTCTGAAGAGAAGAGTCTCTGTCATCAGTGATGGCTCTGCAGATGAACTGGAACCCGAGAAAATCAGGGTCCTAACTTGTCTTCCTGGGTAGCTAGAGGGCTCCATCTCAGGCTTCTGCCTGCTTATGTGGAAGAGTGATAGAACCTGGGAGATGGGGTTAGTGCAGTCCTTTCCTCATGTGTCAATACAGTGCCCTTTTAGACAACTAATTAGGGCTAATCTCCTTCTTGGAATTTTGATTTGGCATGCACATATTGGCTGCTTGCAAAGGACTTTCCACGTGCAAGGCCTTTTCAAGTTTTCATTCTACGTGTTATTTACATGCCTTCAAGAAATGTTTATTTATATGCCTTCAAGAACCGCTTACCGACCTTCGCTCTGCGATTTTTTCCCTATTGAGGCACCATTTTGCAATCGCATTTGTGATTGCAAAACCGGCCTTGTAGAGCGAATTCATCGCTCTACGACACGCCCGCTGTGTGAGGCACCACTGTATATTATTATTACTATTATTAATTATTATTAGCAATAATAGTAATAATTCATTGTATTATTATTAATATTATTATATATATATCTAAATCTGAGGGTAAATTTAATTTAATTTAATTCCAGGTACAGCTTTCTCAAGGAACAAGTGGTGGTGCACAACGTAATTTGAATGGCTTGATGGTGATTCATGGAATTCCGTTACATCAAAGAAACTTGCCTCTAATGGACAAAATATTGTAAGGATAGCAGCCTTTTCTTTTCATGTCCATGTTAAAGCTGGCCAACCAGCTGCAACCAAACTTTGCCTTGAAAGCTATTTAATAATTGAGTTTTAAACATCTTTCTCTTGCAGTCCTATGGCTAGCAATGTGTTTTTGTATATTCTTAGCCAGCTAAGTGGTTAACAGGCTTAATTTTATATAGTTATGTTAAATAAAATAGGAATCTCAGGTTCTTTACTTTACATACATTTATTATTTTTATTATTTATTTATTTATCATTAT